GGGACCGGGCTGGGGATGTGGCCAGGGCTGGGATGGGGCAGGGGTGACACGCTGGGCGCGGTGGCAGGTGGGAGGCAGAGCTGTCCATGCGCCTGGCGGTGGAGAACGACATCTCGGGGCTGCGGAAGGTGATCGATGACACCAACATGGCGCGGCTGCAGCTGGAGGGGGAGCTGGAGGCCCTCAAGGAGGAGCTCATCTTCATGAGGAAGAACCACGAGGAGGTCGGGGGAACACCAGGGGTAGGAGGGAGTGGGGGCCAGGCTCTGGGGACCCCCCAGTGACCCCGGCCCTGCTGCCCCCCAGGAGGTGCAGAGCCTGCAGGCCCAGGTGTCCAGCTCAGGGCTGACGGTGGAGGTGGACGCGCCCAAGTCCCAGGATCTGGGCAAGATCCTGGCAGAGCTGAGGGCTCAGTATGACACCCTGGCCCAGAAGAACCTGGAGGACCTGGAGAAGCAATGGGGGAGGCAGGTGGGTCCATGTCCCCACACCTCCATGGGGTGACTTGCCTGCGGGGACGTCAAGCCAAGGGTGAGAAGCAGCCCCCAGCTCCATGAGGGGTCATCTGGATGTCCTGGGGTGGTCACCTGGGGGTCCTGACACAAGAGGGAACCCCTTTGTGTTCCCCAAAGGCTCCCCACAAGGAGGATTTGATTCAATGGGATCCTGGTCCAGTATCAGGGACACTCTTAGGGTGACTCCTGTCCCACAGGGGACAGTGAGGCTGGAGTGAGGATGTTCTCCAAGGGGTCCAAAATCATGGACATTCCCAAGAGGAAACTATCTCAGGGTGACCCCAGCCCCACAGTGGGGATCTTCCCTAAGCAGGTCCTGTTCCAACCCTTGGGACCTTTGTGGTGGGAACCCCAACCTGTAGGAGACCCTAATCCCACAGTGGAGACCATCTCCAAGGGGTTCGGTTCCTGGTCCCACATCAGGGACACTCCCCAGGGGAAAAGTATCCCAGGGTGACCCCAGCCCCTCAATGGGGACATTTCCCAAGGGAGTCTTGGTCCAACACTAGGGACACTCCTAGGAGACCCCTGTCCCATATGGGACCCTGGCCCTCGGGGTTGGCTCTTCCTGGGGTGGTTCCACCCTCTGCATGGGTTGGGGTGACCCTGGTGGGCTGGGCCAAGGTGCTGACCCCCCAAACCAGGTGTGTGTGCCCCCCAGATCACCGAGAGCACCATCGAGATCACGCAGAGCAGCAAGGAGATCGACACGGCCCGCAGCACCCTGGTGGACCTGCGCCGCACCGTGCAGACCCTGGAGATCGACCTGGAGTCCCTCCGCAACCAGGTGTCCCCCCAAAACCTCCCCAATACCCCGGAACACCCCAACATCCAGCCCTGCGGGGCTGCCCGGCCTGGAGCTGAACCCCGGGGGGATGTTCTGCAGAAGGCGGGGCTGGAGAACAACCTGCTGGAGGTGGAGAACCGGTACCGGGCGCAGCTGGAGCAGCTGCACGGGCTGGTGCTGCGGGTGGAGGCGGAGCTGGGGCAGGCGCGGGCGGAGCTGCAGCGCCAGCTCCAGGAGCACCAGGACCTGCTCAACGCCAAGGACAAGCTGGAGGCCGAGATCGCGACCTACCGGCAGCTGCTGGAGGGGGGGGAGGAGTTTAGGTAGGGGGGGGATGTCCCGGATCCATCGTGCAGGGTGGGCTTGTGGGGGTGAGGTGGGAGCCGGTAGGGGTGAGCATCAAGTGGTGGGATGTCCCGGCTCCATCCTTCGGGAGACCCTGAGGACAGCGAGGGGACAGCAGTGACACCCAGAAGGGAGGAGCCCCAGGGGATGGGATGTCCCAGGTCCATCCTTCAGGAGGGTCTTGGGGTGGTGAGGGGACAGCGGTGGCATCCAGCAGGGCTGAGCCCCGGGTGGCCCAGGGACATCCCAGCACATCCTCTGGGATGTTCCAGCTCCCTTAGCTCTCGGCTCCTTGCGGGGGGACTCAGGAGTTGGGTGGGGAAGGGGCACCACAGGTGTCCCTCAGCCCACCTTTCCCCCCCAGCCCGCGGGATGCCCCGGAGGAGCAGACCCACA